TCTGGGTCGAGTGAGTATGCTGTTAAGGATGCATGGAATTATTCATACATGCTGAAATCATATACATAAATGGCGATATAGTCTCGTGTGGGTTGTATATATGCCTTGCCCTCTGTGTGTGTGAGAGAGAGAGAGAGAGAGAGAGAGAGAGAGAGAGAGAGAGAGAGAGAGAGAGAGAGAGAGAGAGAGAGAGAGAGAGAGAGAGAGAGAGAGAGAGGCGGAGATACGTCTGTGGAAAGCCTTCGGAGTATAAGTATCGGAGGCGGCGGAGTAGGCGTAATCGTGCGCCTGGCAGAGGGTCGGCTGGCGGCCATTGTGGCGCTGCTCTTTTGGCCCAAACTGTTGGCCCGGGAATTGGGACGCGCGGCCGAATGTTTTCATGGATGTTATGTGTGTTTGCGTTTGGTTGTTTGTGATTATGTTTGCCCTGATGAAGCAGTAAAGGCGAAAAGGCCTTCGGCATATTCGTGTGCTTTCCTGTACTTCCCTTCGTTGTTCTACTTGTGTATGCGTTAGTATGTGTATACATACACACACACACACACACATATATACATATATATATATATATATATATATATATATATATATATATATATATATATATATATACATATATATAATATATGTACATATATAATATATATATAATATATATATAATACATACACACACACACACACACACACACACACACACTCACACACACACACACACACACACATATATATATATATATATATATATATATATATATATATATATATATATGTACATATATATATACATATGTATATATATATGTACATATATATATACATATGTATATACATATGTATATATATATATAAATATATATAAGTATATATATAAATAAATATATATATAAATATATATATGTACATATATATACACATATGGATATATATATATATATATATATATATATATATATATATATATATATATATATATATATATACATATCAGACTGAAGTATCCCATGACTGTTTTGCCAAGCCTTCGAAAGCTCGTCCTTAACCACGTTATTCCGCAGTAATGCGCCTCCTTCGGGAAGCTGCGGTCATGGCCGCCGAAAATTATATTGTCCCTTCGCCTCCTGCGGGTTTTTCTTAGTCTTCTCTCGTTCTTTTTTTCTTTCTTTTTTCTTTCTTTTTTCTTTCTTTTTTCTTTCTTATTTCTGTTTTCTTTGTCTTTTTTGTTTTCGTTTTTTTTTATTTCCTTTCTTTTTTTTCTCTCTTTTCTTTCTTTTCTTTCTTTCTCTCTTCCTCTTTTTCATTTTTCTTTCTTTCTTTCATTCATTATCTTTCTTTTTTCCTCTTTTTCTTTCTTTTTTCCTCTTTTTCTTTCTATTCTTTCTTTTTTCTTTTCTTTATTTTCTGTCTTTTTTCTTTTTCTCTCTTTTTCTTTCTTTTTTATCTTTTCCCTTCTTTTTTCTCATCTTTCATTTCTTTCTTTTTTTCGCTTTTCCATTTCTTCTTTTTTTTCTTTCTTTTTTTCCTTTCTCTCTTTTTTCATTTTCTTTTTTTTTAATCTCTTTTCTTTCCTTCTTTCTTCTTTCTTTTTTTTCTTATTTTTCTTTCTTTCATTCTGTCTTTCTTATCTTTCTTTTTTTACTTTCTTTCCTTCATCATCTTCCTAGGGTAAAATTTCTTAAATATATTATGTACACGTGGTTTGTGTATTAAAATTGATATGTTTAACATAACCCTTATAACAGCGAACACTGTCTCTTACGTCATACGTTCCTTAAATCAAGAAATAAAAGCTTACGTACGACATCAAAGACCAGCCTCCGATGTCTGTACGTAATCGTTTAGACGAATTTTCAACAGGTAATTAACTGACAGGCTTATCAGCGCTACAACTGAACGCAGGCAAGTAAATCCTTTGATACTGAGGACACGACTGGCCGAAAGGAGTTCCGAGAATAATTTACGTTTTCTTTTTTCACTAATCAAGATTTTTCACTGTTCTTTCTATTTTTTGCCTTTTCTACTCTGGAGGGAAAATCAAGATGATTTTTTTTCTTCAAGATTCTGAATGTGATAAAAGGGATGTTTTCTAGTAAAGGCTGTTTTTTTTACCAATAACCTATTTTCTCTTTCTTTTTAATGTATTTAACTCCAAATATGCAGTGGTCTTAATGTGTTTTCTTCTTCTTTTTCTTCGTCTTCTTTTTCTTTCTCTTCTCCCCCTTCCCCTTTCTCTTCTTCCTCTTCCTCTTCTTTTTCTTCTCCCCCCTTCCCTTCCTCTTCTTTTTCTTCCTCCCCTTCCCCTTCCTCTCCTTCCTCCTTTTCCTCTTCTTCTCCACTGCGAAAGCCAGCTCTAAATCGAACCTGTACCACGAGATGCAAAAAGAGGGAAAAATCACAATCCAATTAGTACCTGAAAAAAACAGATAATTTCCTTTTGTAAGATGTGATTCCTGAGTCTTCAGGTAGAACAATGACGCCCGGAGAGAGGTAGTTGTTGGCACACACAGGTCTCTTCTCTTTTCTTCTTCTCTTTTCTCTTCTCTTCGTTTCTCTTCTCTTTTCTTCTTTTCTCTTTTCTTCTCTTCGTTTCTCTTCTCTTTTCTTCTTTTCTCTTCTCTTCTCTTCGTTTTTCTTCTCTTTTCTTCTTCTGTCTTCTTCTCTTTTCTCCTTTCTTTTCAATTCATCTTATCTTCGTTTCTCTTCTCTTTTCTTCTTCTCTCATCTTCTCTTATTTTCTTTTCTCTTCTCTTCGCTTCTCTCCTCTTTTCTTCTCTTCGTTTTCCTTCTCTTCTCTTTTCTTTGTTGTTCTTCTCTCTACTCTTCTTTTCTCATCTCTTCTCTTCTCTTTTCTTTGTTATTCTTCTCTCTTCTCTTCGTTTCTCATCTCTTCTCTTCTCTTTTCTTCTCTCCTCCTCTTTTCTTTTCTCTTCTCCACTCTTCTCTTCGCTTCTCTTCTCTTTTCTTCTCTTCTCTCATTCATTTATTCAGTCACTATCATTCATTCACTCTCTCAGGCACTCCCCGTTTCTCCCCACTGCTCTCTCTCCTTTATCTCACTCTCTTGCTCTTCTTCCTATGATAGCTCTAAGAAAACCATTTTTTTTCTAATCAACTACACATAAAAAATAGCAAATTCCCAAACGCTTAAAATTACTATATCTTCCACTAGCTCTAATAGAGTGTATTCTCCTATTAAAAGATTTTAATCACCAATAATCAAATCAAATAAAACGTAAAATTTGGTAATTATAAATAAATGCAATACACAAGAACCAAGTGTTCGTATTTCTGACTCTCAACAAAGGGCTCTTGGAGGAAAATAGACTCTGCTCTGTCGAAGGTAAGTTTCTGAGTCAAAGCGCGCGAGGGAAGTCTTGCTTCTCTGAACGAACCGATAACGCTGTTCTTATTACATTCCGTCGGTGTCGCCAAGGGAGGCAGGAATAGTGAGGGCTTCCTCGCATTTGGAATCGCAGAGTAACACAGCATTGCCTTCTCTCTCTCTCTCTCTCTCTCTCTCTCTCTCTCTCTCTCTCTCTCTCTCTATCTATCTATCTATCTATCTATCTATCTATCTAAGTTATATATCTGTCTATCCATTTATCTATCTATCCATTTATCTATCTATCCATATATCTAACTACGTGTATATCTCTATCTCTGCATTTCACTTCCTGTGTGCCTGTCTGTCTGTCTGTCTGTCTGACTATCTGTCTGCCTTACCCGATGCCCTGGCCCATTTCTCTAGGTCTGATTACAATTAACTTGTTATTCAAGAAAATTAACAAGGCTGACTATGATAACATACTACAGTGCTTTATTCACGTCCTATAATATTTTCACTCCCTTTATTCAATGTGCTCTTCCTTTTTTAATGATTTACTTGAACGTCCATTCATCACTTTAGTTCAGTAAATTACACTTGTCAGATTTGAAATTACACGTCCATGTCCAGCAAACCAGTCAAGTAATTCCATGAGGTTCTCCCCTTCTTCGGTGCCGTATGCTAAGTGGCAGTTGTCTCGTTGGTGTAAAGTGGAATGAAATCCTTAACAAGATGTTCGTTTAAGATTATAAGAGCAAGTTGTCAGAGATTTCTTCTTTTTTGTATCAGATTAACTGCTGAGTAAAGTTCATACCACAAACCACTGAAATGGCGTTGGGAGATAGGTGAGCATTTCGTGGTGTTCATCTGGTCTACACATTCGCGAGACGACGCATGTAGTCCGATTATGTGACAGTGTAGGGTTTTATTTTTACTGTTAGTTTGTTATTTCACTTAATGGCTATTGTTGGTTGTCATTACATTTCTTAGAATTTGGAGATGGACAGAGAAGGTCATGTCAGCTAGTTTCTAGATCTCGCTATAAATAATTGCTAATTAGACGCAGTTAATTTTTGGAAATTGGTTGATAGGAAACGGTAACTCCTACATTAAATCGCCAATTTCGTTTGAGAAAATCAGGCGAAGAGACACTACTGGTTCCATGAGCCTGTTATTCTAACAACACAGGTTTGCACGTTTTGCTATATACCAGCACAATGTGACAGACAAAATCTTTTACTAGTCCCAGTTTTACATGATTTTCTGTCTTCAAAATTCTGTGACAAAAAGATGCAAGTCATGATACATAACACCACATTATAACATGGACGAATGTGAAGGTCGTCTACAGCGCACACAACTTTCATCACTAAAAGCCCCATGCCATTAACTAATTATACTAGTCACGTTACCCGCACAACTTCAGACTCAAATTGTTGTCCATTACATTCGCCCTAACTCTTCATTACAGGTCGATAAGCGCCAGAAACACAACTTATGTCTACTGTCATTACCTCATCATATTTTTTTTTTTTTTTTTTTTTTTTTTTACAAGTCATCAGTCTTATAACTATGTATTTTTTATTAATGAAGTGCAGTTTACTACTGTTCTTGCAAGTCATCAGTCCTATTTTTCCATATGTCTTTGATACGAGCACAATTTATTCTCATTACAGAACGATTTGCACCGCGCTATGCAACGCTCTCAATCAGCTCTCAGTCAGCAGCTTATGATACTCTCTGCAACCTTCATGTGTCTCGTCTTTACCAGGTAAGGTTCTGATGTCGATTTTGTGGTGTTCCTCAGATCTCTTTTAGGGGTGAGGCTTATATAGATTGCTACAAAAAATAAGGTTTAATTCCTGGGTATGTTTTGCCCCAGCATTTTTTTCTGGGTATGTAGTTATATCACATTGTCTTTGTGGGTTGGTTTATCCCAAATACACATGGTAAAAACATATATTGGTGCGCACCGGTAGGCAGAGTCCAATGCCCACCGTAGACAGAGCAACCACTGATGGTATGGGAGGCTGACATAACTGATTGTGGTTTGTTCGTATGAGCCAATCCTCCATTCTGAGAGTTGCAGCATTATCAATATTACCCAATATCGCATTCCCCTCCTTTCGAATCCTGTAACAATTGAGGTCTATTTTGTAGCGTTCTATAACCGCTGATTCTTTGATGCATTGTTTAATGTTTTCTCCTTGTCACTGCAAAACACGAGACAAAATGTTTTCTAATACCCGCTTCTGAAAAAAATATATTCCTATTGATTTCACATAATAAAGAAAAAAAGAAGTAGAAGTATTGTTTGAAGTTTTACAAAATTGTTTCCATCGCGAGTGATCATGTGTATTTACTTGTATTAGTGTTTGTAAAAATCAACAAATCAGCTTTTCCTCTGATGTTTTTGAGTCTGTAAGGTTACGTCATAGCGGTACAGGATGATTTTAAAAAGATTCAACCCACCGAAGCAAAACCACGTTACATGACTCGAACACGTTTGGAATTCTTACCATGTCGTTTCAGAGACGCTAATTGTTCACTTCACATGTTACTCATAAAGAGTGAACATGTATTCAATATACAGAAATTTTTTATGCATCTTTATATAAAATTTTCACATCAAGAGACATACGGCATAATTCGTGAATGATAAAGATATAAATCCCCCACTGACACTTATGCCAAATGTATTGCAAAGTATCGCGCTCTAACTGGCTGGCCACTTTATATCTAATTAGATGTATGCAAAACGAAAAGTTGTTTAAACAAGTTTCAGTAAAGTGGACGTAAAGGAAAAGAATGTTTGAGGATGTATCAAAGTGTTAGGTGTTTCGGGGTTGCTAAAAACAGCTGCAAATGATGATCTATGGCACGCATTTGGCAGCAGTTACCAACATGCTTAAAGTAGGACGTTACTTTTCATTACCCTAATTACTCGTGCACAGACTGCACCGATACTTAATTTACCGTGTATGTATGTATATGTACACACACACACACGCACACAAACACACACACACACACATATATGTGTGTGTGTGTGTAATGTCTGCTGTGTGTGTTTAACATACTGTATAGTTTTTGTCCTAGTAAGTATGTTTATTTCATTCCCATTATGTATGTATAGATGTAAACAAACTTAAGAAGTACCGTCATTTTCCTGAAACCCAACCTGCCCTGTACTTTCCCACCGAAAAGGACCGATTGCTTCCTACGCGGTTCCAAAATTACCGACGGTGTCTCCAGCAACAATTCGTTCTTATTTGTTTAGGAAAAGAACCGCTGCCACCAGTTTCTAATTAGAGCAATTGTTTTTTGTTTTTTTTTCTTATAAAACGAAATTATACCTGAAGGACAATTTATTTATTTATTTATTTTATTATTATTATCTTTTTAAGTACCTGCAGTACTTCTTAACTCAGGATTTGTCCCAGGATAAATATATGTCTAACTGATAGAGTTAAATCGGGGGAACTATCTAACGTAATAAGTTATTTCTTTAAAAATATAAATAAAAAAATACGTTCGTTGTACTCGATCTTCGGATTTCGGTCGCTGGAGGAGCTGGTCACGTGACTGACAGGTGACGGACGTTTGATAAATGTTCGGTTCACAGAGGCAGGCGGGAGGCTGTGTGGAGAAAAATAGAGGAACTGGGAGCAATATATATGAATATGCGCATATATAAGTGTGTGTGTTTGTGTGTATACATATATACATTGTGTGTGTGTGCCGTTTATACATATGTGTGTGTGTATTAATGTATATTTGTATGTATATGTGCGTGTGTATATATACAATATATTCATTCATTACATACACACGCACACACACACACACATATATATGTGTGTGTGTGTGTGTATATACATACATATATATATATATATATATATATATATATATATATATATATATATATATATATATATATATATATATAAGCCAAGAAAGAATATGTCTGAGTGATAATAGTACGTGAAAGACCAGAGCGGTGGCGCATAACATTATAGATGTTTTAGAAGCATTAAAATGTTAGGCCTAATCACTGGCTCAGAGCTATCGAGAGAATATTGTGTCTGCGAAGCATGCAAAAGACCCAGTATGCGAATACTGTGGAATAAACGACAAAGTATTAAGTGCCTGCGTGCGGAGATAAGTACAGTA